CTCGGCGTCGCTCACTTCAAACACCTTGCCGTCCTGGAGCTTGAATGGCGAGGCGAGCGGCTGTACCATAGCTTGATCAAACTCCTTCACGTCCTCGCCCATCTCGGCGAAGATCGCGGTGGAGAGGATGCCTTTGGTCGCGACGTAGGCGATCAGGTCATCTGACGCGCCAGCGTCCAGGAGAAGTGCTCGCAGGCCGGTATCCATGACAACCTGTGCGCGAGAGCTGGGGCTATGCTTAAAAAGAAAAACTGCAGCGGGGAGTTGCGATAAGTGTAGTCGATGCCGTGGCTCGTCTCTCTCAAGGCTCTCGTTCTCTTTTCTCGGGCGGGGCGCAGCGAGGCTGCGGGTTCGATCGCTCAGCTAGAAGAGGAGTCGTAGCTGTCAGTGGACTCCGTGTCGGACGGCTGCTGCCCGGCCGCCTTCTTGCGACTTTCTGCCCCTGCCTCGGGGAAGCACTTGAGGCACAGGTTCTGAGAACCATCGTCATGTGCCCGGGTGAAGTTGGAGTAGCCGTACGGCCAGCCGCAGCGAGCACGCCATTTCGCTGGCGGTCGTGAGGACTCCTCGGGGTCCCTCATGTGTGCCTTGCGCTTGCAAACCAGGTCCGGCCTGTCCTGGATCGACTCGAGGCGCGCGGCTATGTCATCAAGCGATCCGATCATTGCTGCCACGGCCTCTTTGTCCTCTGCGTCTGTCTTTGTCGAGCGAGCTTTCTTCGTCGGTCGAGGCGGAGGCGCTGGCTCGGACTCCTCCAGGTTGTGCACGAGGGTCCAGGGAGGGGAGTCGTGCGCCTTGTCCTTGAGGGCTGCAGGACCAGTCGGAAAAGTCGGAAGGCCGGCGGCCGCGATGCCGTAGAGGGCGTCCTCGAGTTCGGTGTCCTGGACATAGCGCTCGATCGCGCGACTCCCCCATCTCCCGAGCAACATGATCGTGCTCACCGGTATTCTCATGCGACACAGGTGTTGGGCGCCCGAGACTCGAAGACAGTGTCCCCCAAACCTGTTCACGTCGGGCTCGAGGGGCGCTCCGGCTCTGGTCAGCGGCACGTCGGCCGCGGTGAGAACTGCGTGGATCGCCTCGATCGTCTGTGCCTTCGTCATGGGCTCGCCAGTGTCGGCTGCGAAAATAAAGGCCTCGGAGTCGGAAGAGCACTGGTCGGCGATGCGGAGCGCCGCGTGGTAGGGGCAGATCGTCTCCGGGATGGTGCCGCAATAGCACGAGTGTCGTCGCTGCACCATTGACCCCACGGTGTCGTTCTTGCTCGCGGACAGGGTGAGGCATACTTGCTTTCTTTCGGAATCGAGAGTCATGTGCTTGACCCGGAGCGCGGAGAGCTCGATCTCGCGGCAAAGAAACCAGGATCCCAGGACCACCATGGCATGGTGAAAGCGAAGCCCTTCCTCGAGCAGGTCAATGCAGATGTCGAGGGAGTCGAGGCGAAAGGCGTCCTTGGGGGAGTTGGTGCCCATGCCTCGCTCGATAGACCTGATGGCGTCGCGTATCGCCAGTTCCACGGGCGGGGGGACAGCCTGGCCCGTGACATGTATGTGCTCCTTGCGAGCCCGAGAGAAGTACTGAGCGGAGCTGCGGTAGCCCCCGCTGCGAAAACTCGTGCCGACCTTCTCGATGGTGTCGGCGGTCAGCGGCACGGGGCTGATTCCCCAGGCCGCGCAAATTTTGCACCAGGTGACCCAGCGAGCGTCATTCGGGGCTCGCGCGGAGCGGGCGTACACATTGTCCCGAAAGTCTCGCAAGGCCTCCTCCGAGTTGAGCGGGTCAGCGGCTGCCAAGGCCTTGTTCAACATGCCGCCAGCTGAGGTTCTCGGAGCAGGCTGGTCGAAGCGCGGCGCGGGTCCGCGGGGCGGGGCGCTCCCTTGGCTGGCTTCCATGTGGTCTTTGTACCCCGACGTGACCAACATGACCTCGATCTCACCGGCGAGTCGATGATCGACGTGCTTCGCGCGGAGTGCCGCATCATGTATGCTTTCGAACCCCAGCTCGCTCATCTTGTCGATGGTTTGCGACGACAATCCGGCCGAAACCGCTGCTTGCATGAAGTCCACGAACGAGTGGTAGTCGAAAGCCGACATGGCGTGGCGTGCGCGCGCGTGCACAACGTACGAGCAAACAACCTGAGCCTTGAAGAGAACGGCTACGCAGAGCGGGCGTCCAGCTTCTTGTGCGTGAAGTGGTATGACAGGTTCGAGCTGCGGGGCGTCGGGCAGGGGAAGGTGCAAGCACTCGAGACTGTCGTTGCGAGCGAGACGAACCGACCACGAGGCACGACATGAAAGTACAAACTGCACATGCCCTTGCAAACAGAGTCCCTTGCAAGCGCTCGAGGGAGAGAGTCAACGCGAGCGGAGACCTAATGCAAGAGAAGAGGCACTCCTGTCAGCCGGCTTCGGAAGAGAAGAGAGTCAGAGAAAGGAAAGACCTAATGCAAGAGGGGAGGAGCAGCACTCACTCACTCCTGTGGTTCGGGCGGGGGGGAGCGGGCTCGTCGCAAAAGCTCGGACCCCTTCTTTTGACGGCGCGGGCGGCGCGGGGGTTGCGAGGCGAGGCGGTGATTGCTGTATGACCGCCGGTCGCCATGGAAGAATCAGAAGGCCCGCTCTTCAGCGCCTTCCTGCGGAGCGAGCGCGCTCGCATGGACCGCAAAAGTGATTGCCGTGTGCCCTCCCCTATCGCGTTCGGATGATGGGACGAAAGCACCGGCCCTGACATACTGGCGTGCGGTCGGCTTTGCGCGTCTCGCAGCCCAAGTTGCAGTAGCCTTCCACGCGGTGGTCGGCATATTTGCCGGGTGGAGGCTGTGCCGGGACGCCCGGTGGCAAGTTCCAAACGACATTGGTCTCGCCCGTCAGCAAGTCGCATGGCTCAGGCCACCCTTCCCAAGCGCGAAGCCGCTCTTCACGATCGCGGCGACGAGCGAGGCGAGCCTGGTCGCGGGACACCTCGGCGGGCGAAGGAAACGACGCTTTCGCCACCGGCGGGTCGGGCACCGGAGTCGGCTGACTCGGTCCGGGCGCCCCATCATCCTCGTCGGTGTCCTCCGCTGTGGCGTTGGCCCCTGTTGCTGTCGAGGCTCCTGCCGTGGAGGACGGGTCGGGCTGAGCGGGCGACACGCACAGCAGCCTGCGTGAGGTGACCCTGGGCTGGTCATCGTCATCATCCTGGTCGTCCCCTTCGTCCTGGCCTCCGTCGTCGTCCTGCTCCACCGGGTCCTCGGGCGTGGCGTCCTCGACGTCAGAGGTGGATACTGGCTGCGAGGCAGCCGCCGTAGCCTGCAGGAAGTCCTCAAGGTCGGGCGCCAGCTCGTCGAAGAAAACTTCCACCGGCGGTGAGCTGGGCGGCGGCAAAGGCGGAGCGGGCGAAGGCGAGGCCGAAGGTGGTGGTGCCATCAGTTCAAGGTCCTGTGGCACTGTGTCCACGTACGGCTGGGTGAAGACTGCCGCCAAGGTGCTGTCGTAGTCGCTGGGTCGTTGTGGCGGTCGCTTCTGCTGAACCACGGCCTTGGCCGGCGTAGCGATCGGAGCTGCGGAGGCAGCCTTTGCTTTGGCCGGCGAGGCGGGCGGGTCCTGGATCGTCGCCTTCTTGGGCGTGGTGGTAGCCGGAACGCCCTTGGCCACACTTGAGGCCTTCGTCTTCTGCTGCTCCGTCCCCGTCGGCTGCTTAGGTGGAGACGTTGAAGAGCTCGGTGGCGGGCTGGTGCTCGGCGGCTTGGCGGGCATGGCCTTGAGCGGAGGGCCCGCGGCTTTCCCCATGCTCTTGAGCAGCGGTCCGGGCATCGGCGAAGGCGTTGTCCCTTGCGTCAGCATCTGCTGCTGGGCCAGCTCGAGCGTGCGGTCGCGGGCCGAGATCCGGGCCGCGTAGTGGGCATCGGTACCCATGAGTACCGTGTGCCCGATGCCGAGCACTCTGCGGAGCTGCACCGAACCCAGGCTCCTGAGCAGAACGCGCAAGTCGTCGTCATCCAGAAGCGGAAAGGTCTCGAAGACCGCCATGGCGTTGCGGAACTGCTCCACTGTCGTGGCTGCTCCGGCAGCACCATCAGCCGCGGCCGCACTTGTAGTCGGGGAGCTCGAGGACATTGCGGCGCGAGCGGGCGGCTATCCTGAAAAGCTTGAAAGAACCTCGAGCGGGCAACAGCTGCGGTTGTCTGCTGTTGCCGCTCGTACATGTCACTCCGTGCACACGTGCACTACACAACATACTTGCCCTGGCATGCCGGACTGGCGCATACGCGAATTCGAGTGGCTGCCACCAAAAAAAGCTTTGGCAAATGCAAAGCTCAGTGTCGTGCCCTAGCAGGCACCTGTGCCGTCATTTGACTAAGTTCCAGTTGTTCGACACGGCCCTGTTCCCAACCACGTTGTGTGCAACGTCTGCAAACGGAATCATTGCGCCTTCCAAGGCGATCTGAGGACATTTTACTGCGGTTCCACGTTGCGGAGGCAGAAACTGCTGCGCACATTTTTGGTAATGACCACACGGTCTGGCTCTGGTGCAAATCTGATGGCAGCGCTCGCAGACGTCCATCTGCTCTGTCTCCGTGGATTCTCCGGAAGAAGCACTCAGAAAGTAAAGTGCATAACTGCATGACCCTCAAACGGAGCACTATCGCACCGAATCCGGGATATTCTCTTGCTTTCTTTATGACTCAACGAGAGGCAAGCCTTCGCAGCGCAGGTGTACATGGCAAGGAAGACGGCATCGGCAGATGCCTCCATGCAATATGGTCATCCAGCGAGGTCCAAAGCTGATCAAAGCTGGAGCGCAACACACATGACGCCAGAACTGGACAGGCTTCTTTTGACTTTAGCCACTGCGACAGCCAAAATACCGAACTCCTGATGGACAAGTTCTCCTCACCGAGCCCCTTGGCGAGGGACCTTAGTCAGAGATCTTTCACAGCTGAAAATCAAATCACGTAGTATATACAGACAAAGATCAAAAAGCACCTGTTCTTACTGCAACCTGTTCTGACCCCATAGTCAAGCGCAGTCGATGTTGTATGCAAGTTGCGAAAGCAAGTCCGCAAGCATAGCATCCACCCTCGGTCACAACAATCTCGGAAGGGTAAACACGCTCCACCGGGGCGGTTTGATTCTTTGGTGCTCAGTCAATGGCAGCAAGCTATCCCGAGCTGGTCTACAGGAAGGCAAGATCGTTGAACCAAACTACGAGATTCCCCTGTCTGGACTGGACTGTAGGCCACAAGAGCCTCTCACTTCCGATGTTGGAACTCTGCTCGGTGTGGGCTGCAACTTCGTTGCCACAGGCTTCAGACATGGACAAGCTTCAAGCGGCTTCGAGCCCCTCTGTAGTTGAGGAACGAGGCAGAATATGTTGCGATTCCCCCCAACGTTGCAGCCACCCCCACCCCCGCAGGGAGAGACACTGAGAGCCAAGCCCGGTAGGTGCGCGGATCAAAAGCAAGCCTTGCTAAACGGGTCATGCACGGAGCATCTATAAGTCTATAAGCTTGAACCAATGCTTGAATCCCGCCTGAGGTCTCCAGCGAGTTTGTTTCCGCGATGCCGAATTCTGCGATGAGAACATCCGTGAACTCCATGAATTCCAAACGTCGATAGAGGCCCTGAATCTGCTGTTCATCCAGGTATGGATACCACAGAATGATGCAGCTGGAGGGCCATGCATCATGCAGCTGCTGAACTAGGTAGAGGCTCCACGCCATGTAGGCTTCGTACGGCTCGTAAGGTGGATCGATCAGAATCAGCTGTCGACTTGTCGGCTGTTTGCGAAGACGATGCAACAGCCACCAGTACGAGTTCGTCTCCAGCATCTTGACACGACCCAAGGAAAACCGCCGTAGGTTCTGCTTCAGCTCAGAAAAGATTGTGGGAGACAACTCGAAGAGAAGCGCATCATCCTGAGGCCTAATCCACTGCAAGGCCATCGCTGGAGAGCCTGGATACAGTGTATTGTCGGTGAGATACTGAAAATTTCGAACTGCATTCACATAAGATGCCAAATGCCAAGGTAGGCTTCGCCGACCCCCAAGCAAGCGCAAAATCAGATGCTGATGCTCTTCTCCAAGAGTGTAGACAGCTGATCCTGCATGCGTGTCGACGTAAGTGTAAGGTCTTGGATCGGCATTCATGCACTGCATGACAACCGCCAGAGCAGAGTGCTTGAAGCAGTCAAGAGTGCTTCCGGCCTGAATCGAGTGCTCATAGCGTGCTATCCGAAAGTCATCCACCCCAGCATCGCACATGGCCGCAATGATCTTCAGAACAGTTTGCCACTCACCTGCCTTTGCACACGCGTCGATGAGAGAGGAAAAACACAGCGCATCAGGCTTCAGTTGAGATGAAGACATGTCAAAGACCAGCTCCAAAGCTCCCTGCCACTGCTTCCCTTGCTGCAAGGCTCGGAGCCCTGCATCGCATAGAAGCTCGTCTCGGTCTCGGAAATGCAGTGCATCCTCTGCCTGTGCATAGATAGCCAACGCCAGCTCCCATTGCCCACCCTTCTCACAAGCGTTGATGGCTGCCGTGTAGCAGACTTGATTGGGAGCAATGGCATCCTGCTCCATGGACTGAAGCAGCAGCACCGCCTGCTGCCAGGCAGCACCCTCACACGCCATCAGTGCAGAGCTGTACGTGAAGGAGTTGGATCGCAGCATCATGGCCCGCATATCAGCGCAGATGCCAACAGCAAGTCTCCAGATTCCGTGGCGCTCAGACGCAAGGAGCAAGGAGCCACAGGTGAATTCATCAGGTCGTGTCGACTGCTGAGCCATGGCGGAGCCCAAGGCCAAGGCCAACCTCCAATCTGATCTACTGCGACTGCAGGCACTGACGGCGCTGTTGCAACTGATCAAATCGGCCACCCCTTCCTTCCGCATCTCACTCAGCGAATGCAAAGCCACCGGCCATCGTGCTTCTCGATCACAGGAGCTGATGAACGCATTGTGGCTGATCACAGTCGGTACAAGTCCATTGCAACACGTGAGGTCCAACAACCACAATGCCGATTCCCACCGTGCAGCCTTGCCAAAGGTATTGATCCCGGCGTTGTGTATGATCACATTCGGCTGCAGTCGGCACCTGAAGCTCGGGCCGAGGGATGGCAAGAAAAGTAGAAAACACACTCCTGGCCTCAGGCCTCCATGATCTCATCGGCTGCGTGCCTACTGATTATTGCGTGTATGATTGCCAACTCGGGCCTCCTCAGGTCTTCAAACACGCGAGTAACCTCTTGCCAACGGGATCCTCTTGCGGCACTAGACAGCACAGAGGTGTATCTGCTCAATGTTTGCGATTCCTGGGTTCAAACAACACCAGACACAAGGAGGCACATGCGAACGCTCGAGATGCACAGGTGCAAACACCGAGTGGCTGCATTCAGATTCTGGATGGGCTTCGTGCTCAGTGCCATGGCAAGAGCTTCTAAAAAGCCCGCAGATGCTCATGCTTCTGCCCAAAGTGCCTGGTTCTTGTACCCTTGACCGTCCAGCCGCAGCAAGCTTCGAGGAAAGAAGGCATCGGCACACGAAGGTCACATGCACCGACTTCAGATGCTTCATTCCAAACCAAGCCAATACAAAGCTTGCACAGGCATTCCAGTCCGCCTTCTGAAGTTCAGCTCCTTCGCCAGCCTCTGAAATGAGCTGTGGCGGAGGACGTGATTCAGCATTTGGTTCGTCCGTATAAGCCTAGCAGTCAGAGCCATACTGTTTGGGGAATAGCCCTCGGAGGACTTTACAGCGTGGCGTGGGGGTGGGTGGGTGGGTGAGTAGGTGGGCTGCCGTGCAATGGGGAATTATGCTGATGCCACACCTCCCATTCACGAGCTGGAAGCCAAGGCAAGCACAGAGGCAACCATGTCTTTTGCCATTTCAAGTGCCTGCCACAATTGGAGCAGGGCTTGCTGCAGTCCACGTCTCTTTATCCAGACCTGTGCAATCTGCATGGCCATGTGGGAGGTAGTGCAACATGATGAAGCACGGTTCTGCGGAGTCCAATCCGCGCCAGGTCGACCACTTCAGCTGTCTCTAACCTCTGTGACCTCATCTATCCGTTGAGCGGACATTGCAAGAACAACTGACGGCATCAACAACTGAGTTCTAAGCTCCGGTGCCAAAAAAAGCATTGTGCCTGCAGTCCGAGCCGCGAGCCGCTGGCTGACCGTGCTTGATTTGCTTTTTCGGAAAGCTCACGAGCCCTGAGCCCCCTGCCAATCTCAACAGCCTCCTTGGTCAAGGCCCGCTCTTCGAGCCACGCCAGGGTTGCTGCCTTACCATAGTCTTCTTCACATGTACGCTCTTCTGCTGCTGGGACGCAAAGCGCCGACACACGACAAGTACGTCTGATGCCGACAGACAGACTCTGAACGCTGAGAGCCCTGTGCCTCAGAGCCAGGAAGATCCTGGCAAGACTTGCAGCGCTAGTGCGAAGGCATGTCAAGGATAACTGGCAATTCTCTGTTTCTGAGTCCCCATCCGTGGCATTTCCGCTGCCCGCATGGCATGCCACCGAGGTCCGGTGCTTCGGGCACCTCGCATAAATCGCATCGCACAACCGAAGCTCATGGCCGGCCCCGGGCCCTTCTCGGCTGAGAGCTGAGCCTCGCTGACGCCACGCCAGGCACGAATGAGCCTCGCTGACAGAGCCACGTCACGATGCTGCAACCATGCATTCCACCTCAACCCGAGAACTTGGCATCGAACGATCTCCGGGGCAACGACGCCTCGGTCGAAGACAGCTGCCAGGCAACATCACACGATCGATGATCGATGTCTATCGAGTGGTGCAGCGCTCCGCCATGCTCCAAATTTGTTGTTGCTCTGAAATCGCGACAAGTCGTCCCGCTGGAGCCACTGAGGGCCGACGGTGACTCGATTCGATGTGAAACCCGCCAATCTTTTGTGGCATCTGACTATGCGAATGTTTGTTCTTTTCCCTCCAGATCACCTTCGTTGACGCGCCATGCTAGAGTTGCTCACTGCCATCTCTGCAAGGCTTTGAGAAATACCGCACGATGCTCTGGCCTGGCCGAGTGTGGACTAGTTGATCAAACTGTCGCAATGTCCATCACCTAACTAGCGAAAAGCCGGCCTGCAATTGATGGCACTCAGCATCTCCTGCACCTGCATACGGCATCGTCGGCCCAAGCTTCCCTTCACTTAGCGCTTTGCGGACTTGCCTCTGCACCGTTCTTCAGGTCACGAAGTGTCTCTCCATCCTCGGCCGGGGTGGAGACCAGCAAAATGCACGTACACATGACCGCTGAAGCATGCTCTTCTCTTGGGCAAGGCACGTAGCCAAGATTCAGAAGGTCCTGCAACAAACACTTTAACGAGAAGGTCCAAGAAGGCACTCGCTCCATGCACAGAGACGTGATGTCGCATCTCTTCAATTCTAAGCGCTGTGTTGAGTCGGTGAAAACGATGGCCAACGGGGAAGCCGTGTCATCTTCGTGCAATGTTGCGCAAAAGGGACGACCTGACTTCCCCTGCTGCCCGTGAGATTCACGCTGGACTCTGCACAGCAAATTGACGGGGATCGCACTGCAAAGCTAAGAACCTAGTGAGACCGTCCCAAACGGACTGCAGGCACTCGCCTGTAAGTTGGCGTTTGCGTGCCCGAGGTCTCACGTCTTTCTTTACAAATCCCATCCGACTAAGCCATGTCGCTGCCCTGCGGAGGACACTGGAAGATTAGGAAATATAGCCCTCCATCATCGGGCGCTGGCCAACTGTAGCTACATTGAAACTGATGGGATTGCGGGATCGAGTTGAACCAGGCAGCGTCCCAAGCTGCCCCTGGAAGCCACAGAAACCCCATCTGTGGCAAAGAAGGTGCTGCACACCCGATGGGGAACGCATTTTGCAACGTAAGAGTATGCTGCTTGCTTCAGACGCTGGGTGTCTGCACCGAGTCACGCCAACTGATGGCATGGCACGACAAAAGCGCCTGAAATGTGAGGCGTTCGAATCCTGTGTCAAGTTGCCATTGAAACTCTCCGATCTAGAATGCGCGATACGCTTCGCCAGACAGCTGAATGGTGCTCAATGAAGAGTACTGTGGTGCTGTCCGACTTTGAAAACTGCGTGGGACAAGCGAGATCTGTGCTCGGCTGCAACTGAGGAAACTTGCACCATGCTGGCTGTACAAATGCTATCAGCCTGCAGGTACCATAGTGATACCTGGACTTAACTTAGCACGGCCCGCTCAAGCATCGAAATGGCTGAGTAGGGTACGCAGATGCAACGAGTTCGGAATGTCGGCACAAAGCGAACATCTGCTGAGGCATGCGGTGTTGGCGAAAGGCCTGTCAAGCCTCCTCTTCTGCTGCCGGTGCAGCAGTCAAGGAGACTCTGCGGCCACAAGATGTACTTGGCTTCCAAACCTGTCTCTTCTACACTTCAACTACCTGCACCTTCAGCACGATTCATACGGCTTCAGCACTGGAACTCTGGCCCTGTCACGCATTAGGGCCAAATTTCGAGAGCGTAATGCAGTCTGTCGTGTCGAGATTCACACGAAGAGTTCAAAGTCCTCCTGCCAGGCATCTTTGACACTCACGAGCCCACGACATTACAAGCTGGCACATCTCAGGCATGGTGTAGCCCACCTCTTCGACTCTTGGACGGCTGTACGCCATCTTCGGCTCGAGAATCTCATGGACGCTAACGAGCAAGCGACCAGCCCCTGAAGTCATCATCGGTACCTTGGGAGAGGACACAGCCAGGACACGCGAATCTCAGGACATCTTCATCCTCCTGCAGAAGAATGCTTCAATGTTTCGCGGAGTGGCATAGGTCAGGTTGTTCCAATAGTCCAACCCCAGGATGTTGTTGATCGTGATCGGTGCACTGGGGAAGGCCCAGGTCGCCCTGTATGATGTTTGCGAGCATTGGTGGAGAAGCTTGGGCAGTCTCGTTGAAACCTGCCGACTGCGATGTCGATGTGAGGGAACATGTGCTTTCTGTCTAGCCTAGCCTAGCCCGGCCTTCTTGCAGCTGCCGCTCAGAACGGTTGCAGCCATGATGGAGCCACGCTGCGTCCCAGAAATGAGGGGGTTTCTGTCACTGTAAACGACTCGACTTGAGCCTTCAATTGCGTTTCGACTGGAAGTCAACTCTGCTTCGCGGCCCAACCGTACAGGTTAGAACTCGCCTTGCATGCCTTGCAGCCACTTGCAGCCACTTGCAGCCACTTGCGGCAGCTCCTCCAAGTAGCCTGCGAGACCCAGGTCCTCCAGCTCCTGAGCTGCCCGCTTACAAAACACTGGCAAGGAGGCAAGGAGAACAAACAGGCGGTCCTTGTGAAATGTGTTGAGATTATGACCTGGACAGAACTTGCTTCACCCTTTCACTTGTCTCCGTCACCCTCTGATCCCTCACGAGCCGTGTCGCCTGAGGTTGTACTGCTCGCATTGCTCGCGCTTGCCAAGCTTGGCAGCTCTGGTAGCTCCGGGAGCCTGCAGCGAAAGACAAGTTCACAAGGAAGACAAGGCAGGGCACGGAAAGGGCTAAGGCATCTGCCGATCTCGCTCTGAAAGCTGCAGCGGCTGTAGCTGATCTCGCAGCTGCTGCTGAAGAGACGTGCTGACCGCCCGCCACGCTCGCTGTAACAGGGTGACCGGCGTGCTTTTGAACCCTGAGCTCCAGATACCCCGCAGAACCAGTAGAAAGCCGGCAACACGCAGAACAGGGAACCCCACCTTCCGCACCCTTCGCGACTGTCCCAAACACAGCCACAGGAGCAACCAGTGGCTCATGGGGCGGGCGGGCGTGTTTGCTTGCGCCTCGGCCTCTGACACACGCGCAGCAATGGTAGCCTGCTGCACTTGTGCCGTGCTCTCGATCTTCTGTCGTTCTGTTTGATGGTGCTCTTCCATGACGCGCTTCATCACGGCTGCGACACAAGCACTGCGCTGTGTCCGGCCCTCCTCCAAAAGCCGCGTCCTTTCCGTCGCACCGCTCTGCTTCAGCCGCTCGAGCTCCACCGCTGTGGAAGCCTCCAGTCGCTTCATTTCAACTACCTGCTTGGCCACCTCGACCACGGCCAGTTGCGAGTGCGAAGTCTCACGGTCGCGAACCTGAAGGGATCCCATGCTTCGCTCAAGCGAAGCATCCTTGGTCTGAGATCCGTAGCATCCACCGACCAAAGGGTCGAATGCAAACTGCTCGTCGGCATCGTCATGGCTACCAGTGTGCGGACTTCCGGGGCTCCCGTCCAGGTCAGGTGGGGTGTACAACATGGCTCATGCCATGCTCATGCCTCACATGGCTGGCAGAAACAGATGCACTTGTCCGAAAGAAGTTGACTGTGGAGAAAAAGCCACCTGCAGTTTGAAAGCTTGTTCATTCTGTGTCTGCATTGCCATGACGGCTGCCTCTGCCACATGTCTGAAAGAGGCATGGAAGCATGCTGTCCTTTGAAATGTGCTTAGCTGTATTGCTGAACGACAAAGGGCAGCTACGCGATGCGGACCATCAGGCAAATCACCATTTAAGCAAGATCATCAGTCAGCTTTTTGAGGCTCAGGCCGCGCAAGAGCCACCAGAAGGCCGGCAACGGCCCCAAGTAAGCATCTTTGCTTTTGTCTCCCTGCAGATGGAAGAATTCACGAGATCCTTTTGGATACTGAAAGGTCAGAGCGCAACAGCAGCTTGCGAAAGTAAGCGCGCGGCCAACCTTCATGTGCCGAGGCACAAGCTCCATAGGTCCACACACGTGGGATCAGGCTCATGCAGTGCAACAAAAGTCGGATATCTGTGTACAGATGAAGAACAAGCTGCCTGCCGGACCAGCTAATGGAAAACTAGTTTATGTCCATGAGGCTGATCCAGGCAACAGTAAGATCACGACGGGCAATCTTAGCTGTAATCAGGCTGCTAGCATCGAGCTATCAACGCTGCGCAAGGTCCAGCCGTGCGACAAATGCAAAGATCTGCCGGATCCTCTGTCATCTTCTCGCCGACCGATGACATAATGTGCCTGAGAAGCGACCGGGACTCTGTCATATCGTCGCATCAAGCTAGGAAGACGAAGGGTTGAGATAGGAGCGAGGCGACGAGAGAATGCTCAAGAGACTGCTATCATCAGTGCAGCAGATGAAATTGAGCCGCTGAATGTCCTACAAACCCTTTGCAATGGGCCAGAGTATGTGCGGAGGAGTGGCTTGAGATCCGCCATCTTGATGGAGTCCGGAGGGCTCTCTCGGATCTGCTTCGTGGTCAACTGGCAAGCACTTAGGATGCCCACGCGACAAGTCGTTCGACGCGAAACCCGACCCGCCGAGCACATGAACCAACAGAAGCGAACAGGTGGCAGTCTTCCGGAAAAGGCCCGCTTGAAGCCACGACCTTGTCGAAAAAGTACAGCAAGCCAACCTGCGCATCGAAGTGAGAGTGACAAACTTGTGAAGAGCGGGCTCGAAGCTATGCCGTAGCCTTCATTCCTTCCATTTCCTTGCCCACATCGCTAGACTTGGTCGCCTGATGAAGCGACAAAGCACGATGCCAGCACCATATCTCGCGACTCGTGCCCGAGGGGTCCGCCTCAACTCTTTCCGTTCTTTTCACATAGCCCAGGAAGTCGGGAAACTGTACAAACGCCGGGTCCTGCATGAAGCAAAACATATGCAAAAAACATATGGGTGGTTGTCAAAATTAGGGTCCCTTTTTGGGTACCTTAAATATTAGGTGCCGTATTATAATAAGGACCCAAAAAGGGACCCTAATTTTGACAACCACCCATATGCTTTGCAGCTCTAAGTTTAAGAAACGCATCTCTAAGAAACCTTGGCTTTCTGTATCAAATATTAGGTCGCAGGTCGCCTTCTTCTCTGCCTCGGCTCGGAACTCGCGCAGCTGAGCCTACCCCAGCTGATCCAAGAGAGTGCGTGTCTACAAGGGTCTCCGCTGTTGAACTCTTTTGTTCTTCGCAGACCTCAGACGCCGCCAGGCCAAGGCTTCGCATGACCTCAACTCAGAGGCGCCAAGTCGCAACACGACCCGCTGTACTTCAGAGATCTGCCAGACCGCGTTGGATACCCCACCTACACTATCACTATCATGGCCGGGATGCAGTACCAATCTCCTTGATCTTAATTCCCGAGCCATCCTCGCAAAAACAACAGGAGCTGCTGTCCAACCGAGTCTAACTAACCATGCAGGTACATACTGAGCTTGTATTGGCTGCCGACCTGGTCAAAAAGCTTGAATACTTCCTGTATCTCTTCGTCTGGCACAGCCTTGCAGTGCGAGGCAGGCACATCTGCACAAGTTTTTGTGGGCACCAAGCATCTCACCATCGCGGAAGCTGCCTGCGGACACTTGCAGTTTCGGCTTTACGGCATGTACACAGAAACACTGGCGAGCCACCCCCGGTCTGGCTCAAGATCGACGAAGAGCCGCCGTTTCCGCTTGAGCCAGGGCGGGCAGCATCACTCAAAGCGTTCAGATGTTGGGATTATAGGATATGCGAGTTGGGCCAGCTGGCGTTCTGGCACCTTTTGAGGCTCGCAAGCTCAAGGCACCTTGCTCTTGTCGAGACGGCCGTGATCTACGAGCAAACGCAGCTGTGTGCCCTTTGGGGTGAGCTCATTTCAGCCCTTACTGCGGCGACCCAACCTGGCGCAGGGAGTCGGAAGGGATGAGATGAGCTGATGAGCGGTTTGACGCTAAGGGACAGCACACCGAGCCACCTCAAAGGCTTGCGACCTCTTCACCGAGCTGAGGGCTCCCAGCATGTCCTTGTTGATGTCGCTTTGAGCCTAGTCAGATTCACGGAGAAACGTCTCGAATTTGCACACTGCTCCTCAGATATTGGGCAGGTGCCGCAGGATTCCTAGCGCACGGCCCCAAAATCCCAGCTCAAGCCGTAAGCCGCACAGGGCTCATCTTCTTGTTGCGATGCTCGTTATGCCAACCCTCCTGAGCCATCTGGGCGACCCGTCTGCTTGTTTTTCGCGTTGCGACTCAGTGCCACACACAGTCAATTACCCGAGCGCATTTTCGGCCGTAGAGTGGAGACCGGCAAAGCTCGCAACGATGATGCCATGGACAATGCGCAATCCCTTCCCCCCGCCACTAGTAATAATGAATCCTCCAAAATCATCCCTGCGCTGTAAATCCAGTTCTGAATTAGGGGGAGGGTTTCAGATCTCCAAAAAACCCTTGAAGAACACAAGGCCCCTGATCCTAAACCCTAAACCCGTAAACCCTAAACCCCCTCAAACCCCTTTGCAACCATCCCTCCCTCATGATACTTAAGGATAAAAATGCCCCCGAATAATAGAAACGCTTTCCGAGTTTTCATTTGGGGATTGTGGGGCCCTCCCTTTTCGTATTAGGGGGAAGGATTAGATCTGATCTCTTTTGAAACGGAATCCTTCCGAGTCCTTCCTCAAAATCTCTTCGTCCCACTCTCTCCAATACATCCTGCTGTGCTGATGGCTTCTGAACTGGTCTGTGGCCCCTGTCTAAGTTTGAGTCTTGCGTGTTTAAGTCTGCAGTCTCCAACCCATAGGCCAGACAGCGAGGGACCGGCCGTGCCTGCGCAGCTTGCAGCATTTCTGCTTTTGCCACCTGCTCCTGGATGCAGTCATGCCGGCAGGTGCTCTAGAAAGCTGTTGCTTGAAAGTCTGGTTCTTCAAGAAATTCTTGCGTCCTCAGCAGCTGCCTGAGCCGCCCGTGCCTGAATAGCATCAGCCTGCGCCTGCGATTTCAACTTTTGAGCACCAGGACATGCTGCTTGGCATGAATTCGCGAGGCCTGTCTCAGCTCGTCCTGCATCTGCTTGACCTCTTTCTGCGCCTGGCGCCGAGTGGTGACAAGTCGACGAGCCCGTCGCCGGCACTTGGGCCTGAGATACTTGTGCTTTTGCTGTTCGGACAGCTGAAATGGCCTGAAAGGACACAGCACCGCATCTGTGAGTGGCTCGGCCGACATGGGCTCGGGGCCCGACCTGATCCTCGACCTTCTGCTCTCTATCCTGCAACTGCTTGGCGGCAGCATCTGCATCCTGCACACGACGGCATCGGTCCGAACTGCCTACGGCGTACTGGCCCCTCTCAGACACAGGCCTTCATCTTCCTCTCCGCCTGTGGAGGTATACACAGGTGCTATCGGAAACCTCCAGAGTCGTGGAGCGTGCCAGCGTGCCTCCTCCACTTTTTTGTCGGCCAGATCGGCTTCTGCTGACTGCGAGCGCACAGGGACGCACGGAGGCATTCTCGGAGATTTGCTCCATTCAGAATCAGACACCGCGAGCTCCAGTGAGGACAAGACTCGCCATGCAGACTAGACCGTTGCACAACAAGTTCCACATCTGACAGTGGGGCAGGAGGCGTTCCGAGCATCATGCCGAGTTCGAGTGTAAGTGGGAAGGACTGCGCGGAGGTGAAACAGAACATGTCTCAAGGGTGTCGCTGTGACGGAGAGAAGTGGAAGGGGTTGCAACATTATCATAGACAGTAACCCAGACCCAAGGCGGGCTCGTGTGAAGGCATCCCCCAAACTAGACCAAGCAACAGGATTGGAAGCTTGACTCGTTGGAAAAGTCCGACCGGTCGGCCAAAAGCCTGGCGACACCTACGTCCTACGTTGACCTGCTTCCGGGATTCATAGAACATGTGGTAACGCATGAGTTGCAAAATACAATCCCCCAGCCTTCAGTTCTAAATCCTTGGCCTGCTTGGCTTCCTGCGCGGTTGTGGCGAGGCAAGGTGGTGCCCCTGAGCCCTGGCGAGCCCTTAGAGCCCCTTAAGGCCTTCAGGCGGTAAGCAAAAGTGAAAAGTCGAGTCCTGCTGTTTGAGCTCTTGCAGCTCCTGCCGCATGGCCATAAACTGCTGTTCCATGGCCTCGGCTGCTCTTGGCTATGTCAGAGGCTTGCTTAGACTTCTGTGAAATGCACTACTGCTACCCATGTGAGCTCACTGCTTGCTCTCGCATCCAGCTCCTCGGGCAGCACGCATGACGCATGCTCAGGGCCGCAGCTGCCAAGCCGCAAAAAGGGCCCGGACCCAGCTTGCACCTGCTGCAGACCAAGAGGTTGAACCTGCTGGTAGGGCATTGGCCTTGCAGGAATCTTAAGATTCTTCGAGTCTGCCTGCCCATGTAGCCACTCAGAGCCAGGCATCTGCATCTGCGGCATCTGTCCCCACAGCTGTGGGGATGGCATCTGCATCTGTGGCATTGCATACGTCGGCACCGTTCCCATCTGCTGCGGCTGCAGCAATGGGTCTGGCATCATCTGGGAAGGACGACGCAGGTTGGAGTCTACCGACAGAACCGGCTGTGCCGGCGGCTGTTCTGGCAGCTGCATCCTGGAAGACTGAACGGCAGTCGCAGCAACACCTCTTGCAACCAAGCACCGGGTGTCTGACATAGAAGTTCTGCTTGGAATCTGCAGAGAGGTAGGCTGCAGAAACCTGGCGTGGAAGTGAGATGATCTGAGATCAAAGCAACTCCTTCACATGTGCGTATAGCTGCATGTGCTCATTGGAGTCAGTCTGAGCTAAGGCATCTGCATCTGCGGGGCTTGCATCAACTGCAGCGCAGACACCGAGTCGACTTGAGGGTCAGTCTGAGGCAAGACGATCTCTGTCACCAAAGCAGCCGCGAGATAGGGGAAAAAGAGCGGAGGCCTTCGTGGAATAGAGGGACTGCATGAGGCCCGCTCCCTGCGCCCTCGGCTGAAGCCAAAGTCAAGTCCGAACGAGAGCCGAGAGCCAGAATTCGGGGAGCCCACGGGGCTTCCGGCATCAGTGCCTGGCCCTGGCCTCGAGAGACGCGGCGGTGCAGTTCTCTCTCTCTCTCTCTCTCTCTCTCTCTCTCTCTCTCTGTGCTCTCTGAGGCAGAGACATATGGAGAACAAGAGAGAGCTACCTTGGCCGCGGCGCCGCAGGCCGCAGGCGGCCAAGCTCCAAGGACTCCAACGCTTCTCCAGTTGCTGGCAAGAAACAAAGAAGCCTGTAGTCACAAAGAGTCATTCCTCGGTGAATGTGGGGTGGGGGGACAGGAAAGCCAAACGAAGATTCCAAGTCCCCGACTTCTCGAGGCCATGCGTGCCTCAGCAAGGGCTGCACACTTGCAACTTTCCCAGAACGCTACGTTTCTGTGAGGCAGCAACGATATCAGAATGTTACCAGCCGTGGGCTACCGGCCAGGGGTGATGGCTTTGATTGGAATAGCCCTCGAACAAACGTAACATAGGGAAATCTCTCCAGATGGCTCGTCTCGGCTCTCCGCACGCGGCATCTCGGGCGGATCTGCACCGGTCTTTTGGGAACGCGCATAAGGTGGCCAAAGCAGCCAGAAAATCGAGTCTCTGCCTGTGAGCTTCGAGCTCCAAAGGATCGACCTACGGCCCTACGCCCTACATCTACTGAGTCTACTGAGTCTACTCTGTGCCAGTGGAGCCACGCCCAGAAAAGCAGGCCATGGGCCAGCGATTCTCCTCGTTCCTGGCATCGATCTAGGTGGAGTCGGTCCGGGCATACGCTTCACCGTCCGTGTGCGGCCGCGGGCTCCGAGCTCACTACTGCGCGCTTTGCCTGAGACGAGATACCGACCGAATCCCAAGTGAATCACAAGCTGTCGCACGGCACGGCACCTTCGGCACTGTCGCTCTTTGGCGGGATCCTCCAAGGCATGAGTGGAGTAACAAGGACAAGTGAGCATTGTCAGGCTAGCACAGCAAGCGGAGACCGCAAGGCCTCCAAGTACTGGAGGGCATTTAAATACTCCGGACGATTTTCCTGCCAAGCACGGTGCGGCAGCTTCGAGTTTGTCTTTTTCTCGCATGCCCAGCACTGCCACAAGACAGACGCATGCCGTCGAAGAGAAATCTCCAAGTCAAAGCTAGACTCCGAACTGTGGATTGCCCTGTAATTTTGCCCACTCAGTCCAGTTCTCGCTTTTGTGCAAGTAGCGCAGGCTTGTCCTGCATTGGGCAGGGCATTAGGCGATGAAGGACCTCTGCATGTTCCCGTGCCGTGCCCACTGACACTCCATAGGCTGAAAGAAAACTGCATGGCTCCTTTTTCGAGGCTGTCCTCATGGATATGAGGACCTTGCCGCAGAGGAATATGCTACTCTCGTGCACGAACACCTGCTAGGCCTGTTGCATGCAAACCATACCAGTATGCACCTATCTGCACCGCACCTCTGCGATCTTGCCTGCAACTTCGTCAACTATGCGAGATGCCTGAACAAGGCCACACATTATAGGCAAAAAATTGCAAGAGCGGCCCTCCAATCCAGCCCACCTCAGCATCAGCCTCTTGCCGTCGTCGTCGCTCGCCGACGGGATCCTCGCACAAAGAGCGGCTTGATCCGAGTAGAACGGCCAGGCTCATTCTGGCCTCCAGGTATGCCAAAGCATCCAAATATTCGGCACCGGTCTCCTGTCGTGCCGACAAGAGGAAGTCCACAACTCAACTTTTGTCTCTGTCGGTCTCCGTCTGTCTTTGCCGCCCCGTCGTGCACTCGTACCGCGCTGTGTTTCTTTCGACAGGCCGCTGGAAGTTTGCCTGACAACGTGCATCTTCGGCTGATACTGAGATAGTCAGGGGACTTGCTGGAAACAGACACGCAAATTCTCCAAAGAGAACATGATGACTCATAGACTGTACCGCCGCCTGGGAAAGACTGCTTCTCTTTCTCTCTCGTTTCCTTGGAACATAAAAGCCTAGTTACTTAGCAACTCTTCACTGAAAAAGACTTGGGCTGTCTAAATAAGCGTCTCAAAATATAAAAATCTCTCTCTCTCTCTCTCTCTCGCTCTCTCTCTCTCTCTCTCGCTCTCTCTCTCTCTCTCTCTCTCTCTCTCTCTCTCTCTCTCTCTCTCTCTCTCTCTCTCTCTCTCTCAGCTTGAGGTACAGGGCGGTCCATTCTTGCACTCTCTCTTCTTCGTTAGGGCATTTAGCTCTCTCTCTCTCTCTCTCTCTCCTCTCTCCCGCACTCTCTGTCCACAGGAAGCGCAGGGCAGAAGGCAGGCGGTCCAGCTCACGCTTTCGAGCTAGCAGAGCGGGCTTCTCCTGTCTTCGTCACAGCCACGAACCCTTTGGAGGACATTGTTCTTCGGCCGAATTTGGCAACTTCGGCCTTCTTGGAGGCAGTGCGAGTCGCGGCCAAGACCTGTCCCATGCAATCCTCTTCTATCCTCTTCGTAACCTGACCGTCTATCGCCTCCTGAATCTGCGCAGAGGTTTCGTCCACGATGCGAGCCGCCTGAAACTGTGAGCTCAAGCACATTGCCAGGTGTCAAATAGCATTCGTGCCAGTCAGCATGCAGACATCATACCAAGCTTCGAATGGGATTTGACGGGGCTTCGTGAGCGCAGGGTTCGCGGTAACGAAGAGCCAGCTAAGCATTCAGTTGCAACCGCACTGGTAGCACAGGCTGAATGACAAAGTGCACAAGTCTGGAAGTCCAGCTGCTTCGGATACTCTGTGAATCTCTCCATGCGAGGGGACACAGACTTGCACGCGGATACTTTGCAGGATAAGTTCTCTTCGAGAAGCTATACTGCCGATGGGTACAGGTTAACGGGTCAACGACCCAACCTCTGCGGAGGAGCAGTAGTCTCCCCCAGAGCTTGGCTAGTCGTCGACGATTCTGCAAGTAAGCACCCGGGTTCAGACAAGGCATGCAGGTGCAGATCACATGCATGATGCAAACCACCCGAGTGCTGTGCAGCAGAAGCTACAACTCTGCCCATTTGTGGATCACATGCTCACATGAGCTCTGCTGGTCCTTAGAAGCTTTCGCACCCGACTGCAAGCTCTCGTGCGCAATACACTGCAAAATACACCGAGAAACGACCCTGCTGCATCGCCATGCACCTCGGACATCATGGCTGGACTGATGGACTCCAGGTTTAAGGAGACTGCGAAGCCAAGAGACGTGTCCAGCACCTCCAGAACCTTGGGCGGGCATCCGAGAGCATCGCAAGAAGTGCAGTTGACTTCGAAGCTTTTGGGCTCCTGCCTGCATGATGTCAGGCCTGATGCAGTTCGCACGAAGGTAAAGAAGCAGTGCAGGAAACAGCACAGCACAGCCCATAAAAAGAAACGCAGCACCTGCAACACATAGTTTACATCACAAGGCTCTCGCAGCGGCACACTAACTTTTAAGCAGATCCAAACTCTGAGCAGGCATGTGTTCGCCCAGCCTATCAGCAGGATGCATCCGATAGCAAGAATCACCGATGTTTTCGATAAGTTGGGAAAGCTCCTTAGAGGCTGACTGCAGCTTGCGCATGCGACTGACATGGCACAGCTGGCTCAAAACTGTGACGTCTGGCACCAGTTCTAGTCTTGATGCTAGTTAGCCTACAAGCGGTTAGTATAGGGCCCATACGAAATGCCAAGTTTGCGTGCAACTCTTTCTTCCCCTTGCAGATCCAGGTATCAAGCTTGCTTTACATACACCGTCAAGATTGACACCGTGATTTCTTGAGGCATGTCATTCTGCACCGATTTGCATCAAGCCATAGTATACAGGCATGCATGCGTACTCGGCCCGGTTTAGAATCAGCCAGGCATCGCTGCTCTCTGTCGGCCAAGTAAGCTTTTGCAAGCTGCCTCTCCTCATCATCTTCAGGATATTGGCTCGATCCATGCCATCAAACGGCTTGACATCCTGAGCAGCTGCACACATACGCCGCCGGGCTAGCAGAAAGTAAACCACAGCTGTACGCAATTCCAAGTGGCCGTGAGGGTGAAACCTTGCAGAAGGGCAGAAATCCGACGCATGCATTCATGAGACCTTTTACTCGTGAGGCCGAGCTGTATATTCTCGTGCAAAGCGTCTCCGACCAACAGCATGATTCACTGCGGTTCCGATTTCGTTACTGCAGCTTCGATGCTAAATAATGCCCCCAGGGAAAAGATGTCAGCAGCGCATGACCTGTTGAAGGAAAGCGCCAGAGGGACGACAGAAGCAACGAAATGGCAGACTAAGCTCCTCACGGCGATCGATTCAGTCCTTGAGTGCAAGTGAACATGAAATTGGCACTTCTCACAGTTTGGAAGTGAAGCGCTGGCGGAACACAAAGGAAGAGCCATTGCAACGCGTTGGGAGACCTTGTTCGAAGCCCAGTGTCCAGTTGCTATCTCTGGTGCCATCCACCTCAAGCTTCCGCCCATGGTGTGCTCTGTCTTGTACAGGAACCTGTCCACCCGGAGGAGCACGCGTCTACATGTCGCTGTGTCATTTTGCTGCAGATGCCTTGCAAGACCAAAGTCACCCAGCTTTGCTCTGGGCAATAGGTTGCCGTTCTCCACAAACCTCAGGATATCCTATATCACTTTGCACGGTGCGCAGTGCCACTCGGTCCGTGCACTCCAAGCAGCACGTTTGTACCCTTGAGGTCACCGTGCACCTCAGACGTTAAGAGACCAACAAGGATGTGACAAGTTTTGAGAACTCGTGTCTGAGCCCTTAGCGAGGGTTTTGTCCTGTTGATGTAGATACCGAAGTGCCAAAGAAATACCAAGCAGGATGTTCAGCTTGCCTGGCACCCAGGCCCGAAACATTTCGCCGAAGTTTGGCTTGCTCGCTGGACTTAAGCCTGTATCGCATTCGACGGGGTGTGGTTGGCCTTTGATCCAATCCTGCAGCAGAGCTATGACAATCTTTGCCTCTGCTGCAAGGAAACATCGAACACCGCTCAGATGGAGACGTGCAGGGTTTGACCCTCGATGAGTTCGAAGACCAAAGCCATGTCGTTCGTGGACGGCCTCATGTCAGGCCAGGCCAGGCTGTCAGCAGGCGCCCGGCTTCCAGCCCGGAGAGTCTGAGCTTTCTGCACGACGTGTGCCCCGAGGAACAGGACGATGTTGGGATGGCGTAACCGACGGAGCGTTCGAAGCTCGTTCAAGAGCGGCAAACTGGAAGCAGCTCTCGAGTCGGGTTCTTGTCCAACACGACGTGCAAGGCATCACAAAGCTCTTATGCTACATATCCTGAACATACCTATCTGCAATGGCATACAGCCGATGGCCAGGAATATGAACAACTGTGCACATTGCCAAGTGGCTGCTCTTTCTTGTCCGCCTTGGGCATCTTGACTGCCTCGAAAGACACAATCTCCGCAGCACGACTTCCGACTGCAGAGAGATGGAACTACTGCATCTATCCAACCACCCCATTGAAAATGCTGAAGCATTGACCGGAACATACCGAAACAAGCCGCGCAGTAAAAACAAAGCCAACCTGTTCCCCCTGGCGGCCGTGTCACAACCTGAGCACCGTAGTAGGTGCCTTGGAAGACGGTGCCGAAAGTACCGCTGCCTGCAAAGCACTGCGCAATGTAGACGCAGACGTGCAAGAACGCTCACCACAGGCTTCCGATGGCCTAATGTGTGGCTCTCGAACAAGCCTCAATAGCTGCGGCAAGAACAACACGGCTAAGTGCAACCTCACAGTTTGGATCATGCTGCAAATCCCCGCATGGCCCATTCCTGTCCTGGACACATATAACTACCCAAAAACTGCCTGCCCTCAAAGGATATCAACGCCTTGCGTTGTAGCAAGACTGGCATAACACGAGCTGGAGCAGCCTAATCGTAGGGCGTTCTTTCCCGTAGCAGAGAGCGAGCGTAGTGGAGGGCCGCCAATTGATGGCAGGATGCAGCGCAGTGCGATGCGGCGCGTCAATGCGTGTCATGCGGGTGCTTTCGCGCAGAGATCGAGAAGCAGGCCGTAGAATTCGGAACGGCTGCAGATTTTCGAAAAAAAGAGGTGCGCGATGTGCATGTCTTGGGGAGAGCTGGACGTCTGGAAGTGCTGCCCAGTGCCACCCCATGTCAGGCCAGGATGCACCAAACAGGGGCTGGAGGGCTGCGCTTTCAAAGCTGCAAGACATGTAACGGAAAACCGCTCAAGGCTGACGGCAGCAATCTCAAAGTCGCATCTGAGGAACAGAGCTGCTGAGGATCTACGATCCAATGCTCACGCCGTCCCAAGTCCACCAGTTCTCGGAAGCTCTTGCCTTGACCTTCACTGGTGGCATCTTTGAAGGTATGTCTGCGACTGTCGCGGCATAGATGAAACCAAGCAGCTGTCCACCTCGCGCTCTGGTGGAGGCACGTCGAAGATGCTGCTGCTCTTGTTCTCAATCCCTGCCATGGATTTCGAAACTGGTACACTCCCGCCATCTATCAGAACAGAAGATGCCGTCAAATCCGAATGCTCCACCTAGACTGCGGTCTTCCAAGTACCACGCTTTGCGAGTGTCAAACGAACACGAAGGGGCACACATCTTTCGCTTGCATTGTCGGGCAAGGGGATGGTGCTGGATACTTTCTGGATGCCACATGACCCCGCCTGCCAACCGCACCTGGTTCCTTGCCTTTGAAATCACGCTGGCGTCGTCCGAACCACCAGATTGGACATCATCCTCAGCTGTGTGTCATGTACACCGACCGCGAGGAAAAAGATACAAAGGACATCAAAGGACAGACCTGACTTAACTTCTTACCGGCCATCATGAAGCGCTGTCCGGGCATCACTCTGAATGAGACTGTCACTGACACCCGGCGGACGCTCTTGCTGGTGCTGCCTTGCCTGATGCTGACAGAAGGGCATGGGCGACCAGCACACTGGAAACAGGTGACTGCTGCCATCTGCTGCTGTTGCGGGCTTTTGCAAGAAAGCCATGGCTGGCCTGCCCCGCATCCTGGTTAGCGCCCGAAGCATGTACGGCAGATGAGTGGTGCACCACTTGTTGCACCTTGGGCATGGGTGGGACCTCGCTCTAGCAATCCTTGCAAGTACAGCTTCAGTCGGACTTCCCGGCGGAAGTAAGCCTCCTGCGCTGCGAGATCTTGCCGGTGAGGAGTGCACACCCACCTTCAAGATCGTTCGCTTTATCAGCGACTTGTGATGCAGCCGTGGCCACGCTTTCGCACATAACGTTGCATGCACTGCATGTGCCACCGGGCACTAGTCTTGCAGCTGGGTGGCCACGTATTGCGGCATCTCGCTCGATGCGGCAAGTCCGCAGCCCGTCCTTGGGAGAACTGCCGAGCAATGGAAGCTCGAAGCTACGCCACGCAGCTGCTTCCCACGACGACATAACCCTGCAGACACTGGACGATCTTTCCTCTTGCAGGCAGGGTGCAAGCAACAGCATTTTTCGCCGTCACCTTGAGAAAACTGGGACATGTGCCTGTGCATAGTTCCTGAAGCTCTTTTCTCAGGAAATCCAAGTTTCAACCTGCAACAAGTCGGAGAATCACCAGCTCTGCCTGCACGTCTCCACCTGCCAGTATGAACTGTACTGTTGCATTCTTGTCTTTACTCGCGTAGCAAGGCCTTGTTCGGTGCAAACATTTGCTCGAGCTTGCTCCATCCTGGAGCCAGAAGCCGCATCAACAGATCGGAAGGCCTGTGGCTGCCAGCAAAGCAAGCGAAGCAAGCGAAGCAAGCGAAGCGAGCGAAGCGAGCGAAGCGAGCGAAGCAAGCCGTGTGCCTGCCGGACTTCTCGTGTTCTGATGTCGCTGCTGCCGAGACAAGCTGCCAGCAACTGACATGCCTCAGAGCTCCCATTCTTTGGAGGCAGAGTTCATCAACTCGAATTTCTCACTGCCCAAGCACCGGATCGTCGGCTCGGCTGCCTCGAAGGTCTCCAAGGCATTTGGAGATATGCTTGCGCTGGTCCTCAGTCGATCATGAAGGTCACAAAGTTAAGCATCACTGTGCTGTGCATATGCCACCAAGCATCCAAAAATGCCCAGGAGTCAAAGGCCTTGTGCTCTGTGACGCTGCAGCCACTGTTTCAAGTGCTTGCCACGTGCAATGGCTCCAGCACACAAAAGGGCCTCCGTCAAGGTCTTTTCCAGAACCTCCTGGTGGCTTCTTTGCACCTGGGAGAACCTGTCAGTTTCACGAACCAAACCTAAGCCTTAGCTGCCCCAAAGCTATTCAGCCACTCAGCCCCGCCTGGAGAAGCGCTCGCAGCTGACAAAGCACATCAAGCCGATGTAGCCGCTCACTAAGAGGACAAACACCTGAATAGCCCACGGTGTCCCTTGCTGTTCGGGTCTTGCCGGTCCCAACACTTTACTTTACCTTTTTGGTTGCTTTTCAGTGGGTCTTGCGGTTTGCAGCAAGCATCTGCAAACTATGTAAGCACGCTGCTCGGTGCTTCATTCGGGGATAGTGCGCTCAGTGTTGGCACTCAGCTTCTGCTCTGAGCTGCTTGAAGCAGTTACATCAGGTCATGCAGAACTGGTCGGGCCTTTGATGCCAAAAAGCTGATAGTATGGGAGCGGAATAGAGCTGAGCCACGCAGTTGCGCACGCACAGCGCGCAGGTGTTTAAGCAAGATGGAAGCACTGCTGTATGGGGCCCAGTCTGTTTCACAGGAACCCTGCAGTCGCGCAAAGGCTGCATGGCGCGTGGGCCACTCTGCTGTTGCAACATCCTGCTGCAAGGTTGATTGTAGTCCAGGCGGCGATAGACCCTGCACCAGGTCTACCTGACACTACCACATGCTGCTCGACTTGGCGGACGAACACGGAAAGCATCGGAAGGCAGCAATGCGGTCAAGATTCCATCAAGAAGAAGAAAGCCCACAAGATGGGTGGCTGCATCAATCAAGCAGGAACAAGAGAGCAGGATCAGGCAGCCTTGGGCCAAGTGCAGAATGCGTAACTCCTGTTCCCTGCTGAGGTCGCCTCTGGTATTGCCGGCCAGAGAGCGCGAGAATCGCCGCCCGGTCAATGCCAAAAGCTTGAAACCCACTGAGTGCCTCGGGTTGAACATGATGCGATCGCGAGCAGCAGCATGAGGTTCCAGATGGCAAGCACCAAACATTAACATTCAAGGTTGAAGTCAAGAAGCCACGTGAGATTCATTGCTCGATTCGTTGCATCTGCAATGGTGAGTGGAAGGAACATAAACCTTGTCATCTCACGGCCCTTTCGCATGTGCAGCCTACAAAGACCCTCCGCTCTTGCCTGACGGGAGCTCTTTTGCCAGGAACTGAAACCAAGAGCTCCGATTCTACGCTAGACTGTCCGAATTGCTGACCAAGCCACATCCCGTTCAAGACCAGCGCCTGAAGGTCAAGCGGAAAGGTAAAGTGCTGTGAAAATGCCGTGAACAACTTCAAGCGATGAACCTCCAGACGTGCTTGGAGCACAGACCTGAGAAATCATGCGAGCACCCGCCTGGACGATAAAAAACCGTTCCAGGCAGTCCTTGGACGGTCCAATGAATCACGAATGGACGGACAAGCTTGCCTAGAAGCCACCCTCATGTACTGGATTTCGACCCTTGCTGTCCGGCCAAGTATCAAAGCTGACTTTCGGATAAACGCAAGCAGACAAGATCGATGCTATAAGGCACCTGAGTGACTTGGCCGAGAACGGCAGCCAGACAACCCAGAATAGGAAACGCAGTGCAAGGCCAGATTTGGCGTTGATTCGGTGCTGGGGGCTTTGCACGGTGCTCACGGCCACAGTTGCCGAAACCGCATCGAGATTGTCCTCGTCTAGCTGCAAGATCGCACCTTTATCGAAGCAGCAAGAAAAACCGGATGCACCAGCGCTTGTTTCCATCTCTCACGAGCTTGATGTGTCAGCAACGATACGGTCCAGGCCAGAGCACTTGTCAATCCGATGGAGCAGGTTGCACAGGATATCCGAAACCAAAGCGCAAACAGCTCGCCGTGTTGGCGGCTGGCCTCAGTCTTGGAGATCTTTCACTTTTCACAGAAACATACCGAATCAAGCCTGGGCAGACATACTAACTTCTGGCAGGTGTCCTGCTCTGCGCGAAGCTTGTCTGCCGTGCCGAATGCCCATCCTGACAGCTTCGGTCTGTTTGAAGCGCAGGAGCTCCGCCCAAGTCTCGTCTGCCAAGTTTCGTGTGGTAAAACTGGTGGTGCCACCCGGCTGCCTCAGAAGTGTGAACCGTGGAGAAAAGTTTGCGGAACTCTACAAGAGGACTCTTTGCACAACTCTTCAAGTCATGCGCTCAGCTGCAGAGATGGAAGGATCTTGGGGTCTGTCAGCACCGGCTGGACAGGTGAGGGCGCAACCCTCATTCTGCAGAGGACCAGTACAGATTCAGAGCTGAAAGGTACATAGCTGGCTACTGTCAGACTTCTAACTCGAGTAAAATTGTGCATCTCGCGCTTTGTACTTTGTCCATCGCAAGAACCCCTTGGCGTTTGAACTGAAGGCGCCTGCCATTGAGCCGGTCGCTGCGGCACCAAGCCATCCAACCCAAGTTGTAAAGCCCGTGCAGCAACTGTCCTACGTCTACGACTTCGTTGGGAAACGCAGTTCACAAGGGACCATCCTCGTCCCAATCTTCGTCAAGCTCCTCTTCTTCCTCTTCCTCCTGTTCCTCTTCTTCCTCACTCTCTTCTTGACCCTCCTCGTCCTGATCACGCAAAGACGGCAGGGACTGCAAGCCTACTCTCCACTTTCTGATCTTGGGTCCTCCGGAATACCAGCCACGTCATCCACTTCCAGCTCCCTTCGCTCTTCAACCTCCCTCAGCACACTGTGCCACTGCAGTTGTCTACCTAGTCTACTCCATTACTTGTAAGAGCTCGGAAGACAGGAAGCGCGCTTTCAAGCGAATGGCTGAAGCTGATGTTTGATGCAGCCGTGCGGCACGGGTGCAGAGCTCACCTTCTGCCCCGGCGAAGCCTCAGAGGCCTCCAAATGACGTCGGCTGGCATCAGGTTGTACATTCACAGCCATAGAGCTCACGACCGAATCCCTTTGGCTGGTGGAATCTTGCAACTCCTCGTGTACACCGTTGGATGATGCTTTCACCACTGTTGTTCCGAAGGTATCCTCGTTGGAGCCCACGGTACATTTTCCAGCAAAAGATCCAGCATCAGCTGCACCATCTTTGAGAGGGTGGCGGTGCGCTGCTCCGTCTGTTGTTTCTTGGCCACCGGACGATACGGGAAAGCTGGAACCCTCTGCCACAGTTTCAGTTCTAGTTTCAGCCTGCTCAGCGTGCGTGTCTTCCCCCTGAACTGCAGAAGCTTCTCCAACCACGAGTTCAGCATCAGCTGCGTCGTCTGTGGCGGAGTGTGTTGTTGTCTCAGGCGCGGCAGTCTGCTGGTCCAAGCTGGGATCCTCTGCCACGGCCTCTGCCATACTCGTAGTTTCAGCCTGTGCAGTGATCGTGTCTTCCCCCTGAACTGCAGAAGCTTCTCCAACCACGAGTTCAGCATCAGCTGCGTCGTCTGTGGCGGAGTGTGTTGCTGTCTCAGGCGCGGCAGTCTGCTGGTCCAAGCTGGGATCCTCTGCCACGGCCTCTGCCATACTCGTAGTTGCAGCCTGTGCAGTGATCGTGTCTTCCCCCTGAACTGCAGAAGCTTCTCCAACCACGAGTTCAGCATCAGCTGCGTCGTCTGCGTCGGCGTGTGCTGCTGTCTCAGGCGCGGCAGTCTGCTGGTCCAAGCTGGGATCCTCTGCCACGGCCTCTGCCATACTCGTAGTTGCAGCCTGTGCAGTGATCGTGTCTTCCCCCTGAACTGCAGAAGCTTCTCCAACCACGAGTTCAGCATCAGCTGCGTCGTCTGCGTCGGCGTGTGCTGCTGTCTCAGGCGCGGCAGTCTGCTGGTCCAAGCTGGGATCCTCTGCCACGGCCTCTGCCATACTCGTAGTTGCAGCCTGTGCAGTGATCGTGTCTTCCCCCTGAACTGCAGAAGCTTCTCCAACCACGAGTTCAGCATCAGCTGCGTCGTCTGCGTCGGCGTGTGCTGCTGTCTCAGGCGCGGCAGTCTGCTGGTCCAAGCTGGGATCCTCTGCCACGGCCTCTGCCATACTCGTAGTTGCAGCCTGTGCAGTGATCGTGTCTTCCCCCTGAACTGCAGAAGCTTCTCCAACCACGAGTTCAACATCAGCTGCGTAGTCTGTGGTGGAAGGCATTGCTGTCTGCTCCGCTTCCTGGCCTCCACTAGCTGGTGGGAGCTCGTGCAAGCTAGGATTCTCCGCCACGTCAGGCTCGGACTGTGTAGTCTTCCCTGCCTCGACTGTAGCAGATTCTCCTGCCGGCAACTTGACAACCGCTTCCTGGACAGCTTGTTTCTCTGAAGCGAAGCTATCGTGGCCATCACTTTCTGCCTGCACGCCCTCTGCAGTGCGGCATACTGGCAACGCCTGCTCGCTCGTCATTCCCTCGTCCTCCATCTCATCCAGCGCATTCATAAACTGATTTTCCCCTCTTGCGCTGTTCTCGGCGTCGGTGTCAGCTGCCGGCTGAACATCGAGAACCTCGTCAGAAGCTTCCGTGTCTATGCCGGCATCAACATCCTGCAAAAAGCATCGCGAACAAATGCGAAGCTTCCATGACCGTGATGGTGCGACTCCGATAGTTCAAAGCAGACGAAGCCCTCTGGTGACTACCTGAGACATCGACCCCACCCCCTCCCTGGACTTCCACGACTTTGCGTTGGCTCAGCATTCCTCAATCACCGTTGACTACAGCTCCCCTCGCTGACCCAACCGTCTGAATGCTGTCCTTAGATGGCTGTTGGGTCCGAACGTCTTCATCGAAGCGATAACACGATGAACTATCGCCGACTCTGGCGTCCTTGGCCTGTGCATTCTCATGGCTCGTCTCCCGCTCACCAATGAGCCTCCGCAGAAGTCGTTAGGTATCGCAGATTGTGGCAAACAGGATAAAGCATCCCTGGCCTTTCGATCTCCCATCCCCTCCTGCCAATCCTGAAGTCGAGAAGCCGAGTCACAGAGTCTCTTGGCCACAGGTCATTTGAGGCTTGAGCTCGTTCTCCTCGTCGGGGAGGGTGCCAAGGAGGCGCTGAGCAAAGCATAGAAAGACACTCCCACGTGGCAGCGCATGATTCAGAAGCTCACTTGACCCAGCTTCTAGGGCAAGCACGACCATGTCGAAGACGCCACTCAAGTCCGCGGCAAAGCCGTACCTGCGCCAGCTCGGAAGCGGAGTTTCCTTCTGGTCCCTTCCTGGTCCTACTCTCGGACTCTGGCTTCGGAATGACCTTGGTCTGCACCTTGGCTTCCAAGGATGAATTCAAGGCATCCCTTGACGAAAAGCCGAGGTAGCGACTGAAAGGACCAGCTTCCTTCTTTCCACGTAGAAGGTGGCGCCCCCATCCGGAAACTTGGCCTTCCCGGTGCAGGCTGAGGGTCAGCCAAGCTATGATTATGCGCACCTCGAGACCCAACAGCTTCTAGCTGCGATTCCTTTAGAGCGTTGTTGCGACTGAAACTCTGGCCCCTCAAACACAACGAGTGCAGAGACTGTAGTGGCAGGTGCTATCTCCAACAACACGCTCGAACGGAACTATGCCTGTCATATCCCAGACTCCATCGCCATGTTCAACAGCAACATAACCCAGTTCAGAAGCTTCGATGCTCAAGAGGAGGGGCTGGGACTGTTTAAGGCTTCCGAGGTTCTCCCAAGTTTGTGTCATGGGCTGCATTGGCATTACTGTGCTGGACACAAGCAACGGGATCTTCTGAGGTCTCTGTCATGTGCACGGCTAGCCTGTAGCTCGCGGAAGCGCTCCTGGAAGTCGCCAGACCTGAACCTGCCAACATCTGCCGTCTGCCAATAATCCACAAAGTCTAGTGCTGCCATTGTCTGCGCACACAGAACCTAGGTCCTAGGTCTGCTTGCACGGCGTGCAGTGCTAGGGTCGCTACCCTTCGAGCAGTTCGTTCTGAAGGTCGACCGCTTGCTGTCTGGCATGCGGCATTGCCATCACGGTCATGTCGCGCCATGCCCCACTTCTCTGGTGGACATCTTGGTTTCTTGCTTTGTGTTTTCGAAAACGGTGCAGTCAGATGCTCGTGTCATTCAAATTCTGCAGCCGTGCCTGCTGAGCTTCACCTTCTCGACACCGTTGATCTGCACAACACATGCCATGACTGCCAGAAACCCTTCTTTGTCATGGGCCACACATATTCCGCAGGCCCGATTGTATGACGTCCCGAAAGTGCGGACTTGTTCGCTGCAGTGCAGCGGCACGCCTGCTTTGTTGGCAGATCGGCACCTCAAGTTGAGTTGCTACGGTGGTGAAAGAGAGCGCAGCAGAAGTTTGCTTTGGTGGCATCAACGACGGCGAACCAACGCAAGCGCGTGGCCGAGAAAAAGCAAGCGACGCCGTTTTTGGAGCTTCTCACCATCCTTAGGGCAAGGCACCATTGCAAAGGCTTCACTCTTCTTTCCCTGGAGTCTTACAAGGCCCCTCTCGTAATGCAAACCAACGCTTTCCGTTGTTGCACGTGACAGGGGTCCTTACTGTTTTTGCAAGAGCTGACGACTAGCTGGCGAATTACTAGACTATTGGTAGTTAGTATATTCCAGCAAGCCATACTTCGAGATGGGATGTTGGGTCGGGCATAAAACAAGTGAGATTGCAGCCTTCAGCGAGGTGGCGTTAGTGCAGGTTGTGCGGCTTTCCTTAACTGAGGCACACGCCTTGAAGGAAGTGAACGCACCTCCCCGGCGTGATTCGACCTGAGCCGAAGACCCAGCCCCTGCGTCCCAACAACGATTGCGTTCCATATTCACAATCCCTCCTGCATGTACAAGCGAAAGGCTTTCGGCTACAATCTTGGCTGCGCGCTGCTGTCATCAACTCCAGGATTTGAGGTATTAGCGGTCCGTGATTGATGCAGTAACGCCACAAGCGGTTGACGGTTTGACCGGGAGTCGAATGATTTCTTCAGTCGGAATGTGACGCGGAGCCTGATTTGTTGACCTCATGTTGGGTATTTCGCCTCAGCATTTGCTCCATGCCTCATCTCCATACCATTGCACAGAACTTCACTGAGGATACCTTCAGTTTTTGTGCGCAAATCTGAAACCACCCCTTCGAGTGACAGGGGTGTGTATCTGTATGCGCTTGTTTGTGTGTGTGTGTGATTGGAAGGCTCGGCCGGACTAGTCCGTAACCCTGCAAGTTTGGGGTAACCCGCACCAAGGGACAGCTCCCTTCTTTCTGACTCTTCGGTCGAAGTCCGCAGGGTCTCTTAAGGCGACGGCTTGTCGGGCGGGTCCGCGGCGGACTCAGCCGACTGCGGCTGACGGATTACAGTGGGACGGAATTCACCGCGAAATGGGGCAGCATGCAATCTCAGCCTGCTGGTATGACATCCAGTACAATGCTACTGAACGGCCGGAGCCTGACAAGCTGTGATGTCCTTCTGCCAGACGCACGTCGCTACTGAGAGGTAGTGGTCTCGCCCAGCTCAACATGGTCGCAAGCTTCCGCAGGAAATCCAACTTGCGGTCTGGCTGAGCACAGACTGCTGATGTTGTGGTCGGCCGGGTGGCACTCAATGCACGTCACCCGTCGGAGTGACGCTCACTGGCAACTCAGAACATAACCCAGCCGGGGAGCTGCACACGTCCGTCCAGCGAGCGGTTATAACGCACGCACGGCACATTCAGTGTGATCTGACGTGGACAGCGATGCAAAAGCAGAAGGCAGGGGGATCAGGGACACGACTGATACAGGGAACCTAGAATCCAACGGAAGATCTCGAGGCTATGCCTACTTGATCTCGAAGCCCCGACCGGAAATCACCTCTCTCACACAGCCACCCTGGTGTGACAGGCATGTGCGCTACCATGAACGTGTTGTGTTAAAGCTTGGCACCCGAAGCTGCAAATGTCACTATTGAAACATATTGAAACCTCACGGGTCGTTTGTCTTCCCCAGTATTCACACCTGACTCATGTCAGTATCGAGCACTCCACGTCCAAAAGAAGTCACAGGGACTCAAAACAAACCACCCGAAACCTCCGCGAAAAGTGTTTGCACACTTCCAGACAGTAACATGCCAGCGCAGCGTGCATTTCTTCACTCATCCTGTTTGGAGCTTCTCCAAAATTTTGCTGCTTCTTTACCAGTTACGTACTGACATCGGCACTGGGATTCCAGCCAGTCTGCCATTTCGCCATACCTCCTCACTTTCAACCTCGGTCAACTCTGCAACTGCAACCCACAGGTTACAAGGGGGCAAGAGCATTGAACGAAGCAAAACTGCCAACCATTCTCTCAAGAGTCTAACATCACACGAACATGTGACACATCCGTCAACGACGGATCCTATGATCCTGGACGGGCCGGATACCCCTTCGGGGTCCTGGGCCACTCTAGTCACGGGTTCGGCCTAAGCTCAAAAGTGGTGAAACGAAAACGCTTCTGCAGGAAACGAAGCGGCGCTTGGTCCCTCCAAGACCGGATCTAAGAACCGAAGGGGCGATGACCTCCAGAACACAAGAATGTGCCAGCTATACAGCTGTACCGAGTTATACCTCTTAGCCGCTGAAAACTGGCACTGACGCCGACACTTTTGCTGATGAGATGGCATTACGTGTGATTGAGTCTGGAGCCTTGCCTCCATTAGGGAACGCCCGACGAAACCGAACCCTCGCTCCCTGGTTCTGGCGCAATGCCGGGCAAGGACTGACATCGAGCTAACAACGAATCGAATCGTGTGTTGCCATGGAAAGGTACAGTGAAAATACTGTATAAGAACCCACTGTTTAAGAACCTGAGCCCCTACCCAAGGCGGAATTCACCAGATTCAAGTTGCCTCAATATTAAGAACCTTAGGGTACCCTAGTTGTTCGGGTCAGCTTCTTAATTTTTTGGGTGCTTTCCCTCACCAAGGAAATTTCGAATCGAAAACTAAATTTCCCAACCTTCCACATCAAGAAATCCTCTGCCCAAACGTGATGATTACAGCCTCCTACAGGCCCAAGGCTCCGCTCCACACCGACGGCATCAACAAATTTAGAATCCAAAAGTAAATTTCCAGCACCCCTGCAGCACAGTGGTCTTGCACAGGCTCTTGTAGTGAGGGCTTTTGTTTCAATCCCCGGGGGTGTCATGCCGCTGCGCGCTGCTCGTATTCCACTGAAATAGAGCCCCTTGCCACCAAACTGTGGAAATTTAGAATTGAAATCCAAATTTTCCACACCAGCCTCCTCCTGGCCCTGTGGTCCCCGGCCCAAGCCACACCCATGGCCCATCCACCCACACAAGGAAATTTAGAATACAAAAGTAAATTTTCTGGGGGGTCTGTGGCCATGCCCTCTGCCCCGAGTCCTTTCGACGAGCTGTGGAAATTTAGAATTGAAAACTAAATTTTCCAGACCCCCATGGCCCATCCACCCCCACAAGGAAATTTAGAATCCAAAAGTAAATTTCCCGAGACCTCGGTCCGGATAAGAACGTGGTTAAGAACCTGAGCCTACCCTAGCTGCTCGAACGGCAAAATCACATGTAATGGAAATTAAGAACCTTAGGGTACCTTACTCTCGCCGAACGGGGTTCTTATACAGGGTTTTCACTGTATTAATCACTTGAATGGTACTGATCTGATAGTGGCAATGAAGATGCTGATAGTATCATTGTCAGGAACTTCGATCGAACCGTTTCCAGCTTCTGACGAGACCTTGTCCTGCACTCCTTTGAGTAATTCCGGAGGCCAAGTTCGCCCTTGGAAACGCGACAGACTGGCTCCATGCCCAACCCTTGATTCATTGGAACCTCCTCGGCACATAGAACGCTGCTGAAGCAAGTCCACGTCTCCAAGGCCAACAAACACCTTGGGTGCCTTGGCCAAAAACCAGTTCAGCTTCAGCTCCCGCGTCGACAGAGCCACGCAGAGCTATGCCAGCTGTACCGAATTCGGAGTCTGCAGTGGAAAATATTCCGCCACGTGATGGGCATTGTCCGACGATCATAGAAACTCAGACTTCCACAACACATTGGAGCTGTGATCGTACCGGCAACTATTCAAACCTCGGCTGCACCTTTCCGGCACAAAGTTGCTGTGGGCGATGCTCACAGGCCAGAAGCTCGAGGCTCCCCGCTTGAACCACATGGATGCACACTGAGTCACAACTGGGATCTATCGGTGCTTTGTGGTCCAGTCTCGGTAGCCGGGCGCCTGAGCGAATACGGAAATGAAACTAACTATGACTCACGATGGTGCGAACTGCACATGGCAGGCACCATCGGGCTCCAGTGCTGGAGCGCTCTGGAGCACTCTACATTCGAAGTAAAAGGTGCTCAAGGCTAGTCAAGAACACTTGTCTTGGCCCTGGTCAGGGTGTGGGATCTCGTCTTCGAGACTTGCCTCCACCGTTTCTTTGAGTTCTCTGACGCTTGAAAACACGAAAGCAAATATTGCGGTATGCACTGAAGGCTTTCCAAAAATGCGGGCCTCGGCTTAACAAGAAGCGTACAGTCGCTCTCCTCCAACCTCAGCACAGCTCAAACATCCATGCGAGTCTCTGCGAGTGCAGCTGCAGCTGAAGTGCTGCATGACAAGAGTTCCCTTGCGCGTTCCCGGACCCACGATCTTGCCATGCAGGTTCTTGGACTCATCGTGCTCATCAAAATGCAAGGCCTCAGCCCACAGCGGTGATGATTCAAAGATTCGGCGATACATACAGCTCTCATGCCCTCTCGCCATCCGTACTGACACCATGCCTGCCACAGAGCTTGGCTGAGGCAGAAGCGCGGTTGGACATACAGAGGTGAAGCCGCACCCGGTCACCAGCCTCGAAGTTATGCAACCTCGGAAGACGGTACGTTTTGCGCATGGGAGCAGTCA